GAGTATATTTTTGTGTATGGTGTTAGGGAGTCTGCTAATTTCATTCTTTTACATGTAGCTGTCCAGTTTTCCCAGCACCACTTATTGAAGAGGCTGTCTTTTCTCCACCATATATTCTTTCCTCCTTTATCAAAAATAAGGTGACCAAATGTGCATGGGTTTATCTCTGGGCTTTCTATTCTGTTCCATTGATCTATATTTCTGTTTTTGTGCCAGTTCCATACTGTCTTGATTACTGTAGCTTTGTAGCATTGTCTGAAGTCAGGGAGCCTGATTACTCCAGCTCCGTTTTTCTTTGTCAAGATTGCTTTGGCTATTCAGTGTCTTTTGTGTTTCCATACAAATAGTGAAATTTTTTGTTCTAGTTCTGTGAAAAATGCCAGTGGTAGTTTGATAGGAATTGCACTGAATCTGTAGATTGCTTTGGGTAGTAGAGTCATTTTCACAATGTTGATTCTTCCAATCCAAGAACATGGTATATCTCTCCATCTATTTGTATCATCTTTAATTTCTTTCATCAGTGTCTTATAATTTTCTGCATACAGGTCTTTTGTCTCCTTAGGTAGGTTTATTCCTAGATATTTTATTCTTTTTGTTGCAATGGTAAATGGGAGTGTTTTCTTGATTTCACTTTCAGATTTTTCATCATTAGTATATAGGAATGCCAGAGATTTCTGTGCATTAATTTTGTATCCTGCTACTTTACCAAATTCATTGATTAGCTCTAGTAGTTTTCTGGTAGCATCTTTAGGATTCTCTATGTAGAGTATCATGTCATCTGCAAACAGTGACAGCTTTACTTCTTCTTTTCCGATTTGGATTCCTTTTATTTCCTTTTCTTCTCTGATTGCTGTGGCTAAAACTTCCAAAACTATGTTGAATAAGAGTGGTGAGAGTGGGCAACCTTGTCTTGTTCCTGACCTTAGTGGAAATGCTTTCAGTTTTTCGCCATTGAGGATGATGTTGGCTGTGGGCTTGTCATATACGGCCTTTATTATATTGAGGAAAGTTCCCTCTACACCTACTTTCTGCAGGGTTTTTATCATAAATGGGTGTTGAATTTTGTCAAAAGCTTTCTCTGCATCTATTGAGATGATCATATGGTTTTTCTCCTTCAATTTGTTAATATGGTTAATCACATTGATAGATTTGCGTATATTGAAGAATCCTTGCATTCCTGGAATAAACCCCACTTGATCATGGTGTATGATCCTTTTAATGTGCTGTTGGATTCTGTTTGCTAGTATTTTGTTGAGGATTTTTGCATCTATGTTCATCAGTGATATTGGCCTGTAGTTTTCTTTCTTTGTGACATCCTTGTCTGGTTTTGGTATCAAGGTGATGGTGGCCTCGTAGAATGAGTTTGGGAGTGTTCCTCCCTCTGCTATATTTTGGAAGAGTTTGAGAAGAATAGGTGTTAGCTCTTCTCTAAATGTTTGATAGAATTCGCCTGTGAAGCCATCTGGTCCTGGGCTTTTGTTTGTTGGAAGATTTTTAATCACAGTTTCAATTTCAGTGTTTGTGATTGGTCTGTTCATATTTTCTATTTCTTCCTGATTCAGTCTTGGCAGTTTGTGCATTTCTAAGAATTTGTCCATTTCTTCCAGATTGTCCATTTTATTGGCATAGAGTTGCTTGTAGTAATCCCTCATGATTTTTTGTATTTCTGCAGTGTCAGTTGTTACTTCTCCTTTTTCATTTCTGATTCTATTGATTTGAGTCTTCTCCCTTATTTTCTTGATGAGTCTGGCTAATGGTTTATCAATTTTGTTAATCTTCTCAAAGAACCAGCTTTTAGTTTTATTGATCTTTGCTATTGTTTCCTTCATTTCTTTTTCATTTATTTCTGATCTGATTTTTATGATTTCTTTCCTTCTGCTAACTCTGGGGTTTTTTTGTTCTTCTTGGGCTTCAGTGGTTGTGGCTCACAGGCTCTAGAGTGCAGGCTCAGTAGTTGTGGAGCACAGGCTTAGTTGCTCCACGGCATGTGGGATCTTTGTGGACCAGGACTCGAACCTGTGTCCCTTGCACTGGCAGGAGGATTCTTAACCACTGCGCCACCAGGGAAGCCCGGAGTTAACATTTTTATAACTAGTTTAGGTATAATTATTTTTATAATCTGGGTACCTCTTACCTGTTTCTTAATGTGTTTAAGGCACTTAATAAAATTTGAAATTAAAAATTTTTTAAATTTATTTAATTTATTTATTTTTGGCTGTGTTGGGTCTTCATTGCTGCGCATGGGCTTTCTCTAGTTGTGGCAAGCAGGGGCTACTCTTTGTTGTGGTGCACAGGCTTCTCATCGCAGTGGCTTCTCTTGTCATGGAGCACAGGCTCTAGGCATGTGGGCCTCAGTAGTTGTGGCACGCAGGTTCAGTAGTTGTGGCTCACGGGCTCTAGAGTGCCGGCTCAGTAGTTGTGGTGCACAGGCTTAGTTGCTCTGCAGCATGTGGGATCTTCCCGGACCAGGGCTCGAACCCGTGTCCCCTGCATTGGCAGGCAGATTCTTAACCACTGTGTCACCAGGGAAGCCCTAGGTTTGTGATTTTAATGAAATGTTTACATGTGTTTAAATCTGATCAGTGTTTAAAAGAGTAGGGATATCTAATTTTAGGAATTCTTAAGTTTTTATTATTTGCACATCTATGAATAATTAGAGGAATGTTGGCTGCTTAAAGAATGTCAGTTGTTTCCTTAAATTAATAAATTGAACATTAATCAAAATCCAGATGAGTATTTTTCTCCAACCCATAAGCCCTTTGGACATAAGAGAATCTATCAACATGGTAATCCTTTTATACTCTGAGGTTCAGAGAAAGAGTCATATGAATTTTTGTGTTGAGCAGCAATCTCTCATTTTATTAATTTTAATATAGTTATCAAATGTTTTCAGAGTGCTATAAAACACTGTTCCAGGCACTGTTTGTATCCACTGGATTAGGAGTAACATGATCCATGTTCTAGTGACATTTCAGTCCAAGAAACCCTGAATAATAAATCACATTATTATGTCTAAGCTGAAGTATCTCTTTTCATAAAAGAAAGGCAAGAACACCTGGTTGGATGGACCAAATGAATTAATATATGTAAAAGGGTAATATCTTGCCCTCCTAGACAGAAATAAATCATAACAACAGGTTTCTGAATGAGTACTACTCCTATGGCTTCCTTGAATTTTGATGTAATAAATATACTTAGGATTCACGTAACTTGGAACATGTTGAAGACAACAAAGGACATGAGAATGAATTCACATCAGAATGACATAGTTTACTGTACAGTTAACATAAGCATAATCATTTATGACCCTAAGGATATATAATAGGCTTCTAATTTTATAATTCCTATTTATGAAGAATTGCTGAAAATCCATGGCCAGCGGGTCTTATTCAGTCCCGACTCCTCTTTTCTGAAATTGTCCAAATTCTGCTGATCCTCTCCTGAACAATCCCACACTGCTCTCCTTCTTCCCCTGTGCTGAGATACACTGCCTTGTATTGAAGCCCTTAGCACTCTTCGTGGATTATTCAGCTTTTCCCCCCCTCCGGTTGCAAAATTAAACTTTGATCAAAGGCTTCACCAATTGTAATTAACCATTAATTCTTTTCATACATACCTCTGCTTTCTGAGACTTTGCCTTGGCTCACTCTCTCTTCCTGAAACCTGAGTGCTCTATACTCTGCCTCCTTAGGGTAAATAAATGTTCAATGTAGATCCTTTTGGTGAAAAGACACTTCCAGAACTTATCTGTCTTGACAATGGATCTCCATTTCACAGATATTTGAACACAAAATATTATTAGAAATCCTCCATGACTACAGTAACTTGGGGTTTTATTAACTATTTCATCCACTGATGCATGGGACATAAATGTACTTTGAAAAGTTTAACTTCCATGGTGAAATGAATTCATTTCATTACTTTCTTGGTTTTTAGTGTTTTAAGTTTTAAAAAAATTTAAATCATTCCAGCTTTCACTTAAGGCCTATGATATCTAGTCCTTCACAGGGAAAAAAAAAAAAAAGGCAAGTCTTGAGCTGGGAGATATGTTAGAAGGAAGGTGAGAAAGCAAGGGGACTGCATTCTTACTTAGCCTCATGGCTTCTTCAGCCATGCCTGAGAAGACGGAGAGAAAAACAGAAAGCCAAGAAACAGAAGCAGCCTCCTAGTTGCAGCTATTCATGGCTTGTGACAGTTTATATTTACGATGCTTTGTAATGTCAAAAAGTGATTTCTGTCAAACAAGGCAGTAATCATAAAAATCAAATTAAAACACCTTAAATTCTTTTTGGAAAAAGGTGGTACATAAATATATTTCAATAAATAAAATGAATTAATAAGCCAATTAGTAACACTTCCTTAGTTGTTTATATAAGCCAGTAAGGCTCTTCCCTGGTTCTTAGCCTCAGTGTGGCACCACCACTCATCCTCTGTTACGGTACCCTACTTCTGTCTTCCACAGTGGTGCAGGGAGGTGTAGGGATTCTTATAAAGCCCCTGTCATTATAAAATAAAAGCTCCTCTCTATTCAAATCTGCAATAATAACAGAAATGACAATTTTAGTTCAAAAATCTATGTTTGCTACAGGGAACTTTAAAACTAGAATAACAGGATAGAAAAGTAGACTTCTCTGAAGCACTTTTCAAAGTTCATCAATATGACCCTCAGTCTCCTCCAAGACTCCTCTTAAAGATCCTAGGACCTGTTTGATGAAAATAATGCAAGGATTCCCCAAAAATAACATAATACTGCCATATCCTCTCACATGGCTTCTCAAAAAATGGTCAGAAGACTTAGGTGGTACACCAATGGATATTTTCAATTTCAAAGTTATATATTTATTTTGATGGAAATTAGAATATAATTAGTATACAGAACTCACAATTTCCATAAATAATATTTCCTAGGACAAGGCTAAAAGTTCTGAGTCCCTTTAAAGGAAAATATTAAGTAAACACTGAATATGGTAAAATCTGTAAAGGATGTATACAAATGACTGAAGTTTAAGAAATATTGCTCTTTTCTGTTTATTTCAAGTTTATGTGACTGGTTATACTATATCATTGCCTTGATTAATCAATGTTTATATAATTTAAAAACTTTATGCTATAAAAATCACAGGGGAATAATCATAGGTTATTGCCTACAGGATTTCTGGTCATTAAGAAAAGTTTTAGAACATGACTCCTCATATAATCTTGTTTATAAAATAAATTACTTTCACTATTTATAACCTCTCCTGGGAATATAATATGCTACTAGTTTAAGGTCTAAATTTATTTGGCTTCTACACATTAAAAGTTTATCTATAACCTTTCTCCCCACTATGAATAATATGATATTGCATGGGATGAAAAGGTCTGACCAAAATTTTCCTACATTTATATATTCATATGAGTCCCTTACCCCACCCCCACCCCCACCAGGACAAAGCTAAAAATTCTGAGTTATGTGCTGAGGAGTAAGTGAAGGACTGTGGCTTAAGGTTTTCTCACATTTATTATATTCACATAATTTCTTCCGAGTATGGATTTTCCTATGTTGATTAAGGTGTGCACTCTGGCTGAAGGCTTTTTCACATTCATTACATTTATAGGGTTTCTCTCCTGTATGAGTTCTCTCATGCTGATTAAGATGTGTCCTTTGGCTGAAGGCTTTCCCACAAAAACTACATTCATAAGGTTTCTCTCCAGTATGAAGTCTATGATGTTCCGTAAGGGACGTGATACGGCTAAAAGCTTTACCACACTGATTACATTTATAGGGCTTCTCTCCAGTATGAATTCTCAGATGTTGAGTAAAGGATGAATGTTGACGGAAGGCTTTCCCACATTCATTGCATATAAAAGGTTTTTCTCCTGTGTGAATTCTCTGATGTTGAATAAGATGTATCCTCTGACTGAATCTTTTCCCACATTCATCACACTTATAGGGCTTCTCTCCTGTGAGTACTATCTGAGGTTGAGTAAGAGATGAGTTTTGGCTGAAGGCCTTCCCACATTCACTGGGTTTCCCCTCAGTATGAATATGAGTAGTAAGAAGAATATGTTGATTGAAGATTTTTCCACACTCATTATATTCATAAGGATTCTCTCTTACATAGTTTCCCTGATAGTAAGTGAAGTCTGAATTATGCTTGATGCTATTTCCTTGTGTGTCAGAATTAACGGGTATTTTAATTGAAGGAATTCTCTGATGCATAACAAGGTTTGAGTTCAGATTATAGTTTTCCCCAAATCTATTACATTCAAGGCTTCTCTCCTGTGTGATCTTTTTGTGGGTGAAAGATACTTGTCCTAAATGTCTCTGCTGGTTTTCTTGGTTAGATTCTAATCGGTAATCAAAATCCCAGAGTCCACCTAAGATGGAGTACCAGAAACTGTCTCCTGTTAATCTCTCCATTAGCATGTCACAGGTTTTATTTTCATCAGAAATATTCTGGTTTGATTTTTTTATTTCTGGACTATTCTCCCCATCTAAAAGAAATTCAGAACATATAAACACTTTAAAGTATTCTCTGTTTGGTAAAAGAAATTATTGCATAGTGAATTACCAAATGAAACTGACAGTAATGCAGACAAGGCAAATGTGGCATTAAAAGTTTTGAAATATGGCCATGTAACGGGAAAGACTACAGAAGGATGACGAGAAGCAGTGAGCAGGTGGAAATTTAAAAATATGTATGGTAATCATAAAAAGAAGAGATCAATCAGGAGCATACATAGTCGAAAGGAAATGGAAAGGAGAATAAGAAATATCAGGGTAAAGTCTGTGTTCAGAGATGGGAGACAGAGAAAAGACTACTTAGAGAAGACAGGTCCAAGTCCAAGACCTTCTAAATCTCACCTGTGGATTATTCTATTATAATACCAACTACTGGTTTATTTTAAAAGTATGTCTTCTGATTTTTAATCTTTTGTTTAAAATGATAAAACTAATACTTGCTTATAGTAACATATCCAATGTACAAAGTAAGAATTCCACCCCCGAAATGTAATCATTGTTAAGTTTGGAGCCTCTCTTGCCAGATTTCTCCTATATTCACATAAATATAAATGTAACCGTATTTTGAACAAGCATGACACATGGATTGTGGTAAAAACAAAATTTCATTTCAGTCTCCCACTGCTTCTTTAAACTTTATTTAGTGGGGGTATTTTTCCTCTGCTTCTGTATGAAGATTTGGGCAGGACCCATGCTCTTCCTTTAATTATTAGGTAACAGATACTCCTACTCTTACATTAAGTTGCAAACACAGTCTCTATTCAGTAATTAAAGTGTTCAGTCATGTATAGTATTCAAAACTTCAAAATTAATCCCTCTCCCCTTCCTTGGGCTGTTACAGAGTCAATATTCCTCCTTCTCTCTCCCTGCCTCTCCCCACCTCTACTCCTTCCCTGCTAGTCTTTTCCCTGCTTCTACTCTGCTTCTTTCTCCCCTTAACTATTTCCCTATACACCTCTTCCTTCACTCACTAACTCTTGTTTAATTCCCTTCTAACAAGAGTTGGAGGGTAGCAGCTGTGTGGAGGGAAGAGAGATCAAGAGATAGGCCAGTTTTTGTACAGTAGCTTCACATTCTCAGCTTGGTGGATGTTTAAAACAGACTCACTTTTGGGAACTTTTATGACTCTTGGAAGGTTCTAGCTAGACCCCTCTCTCTCCAGTCATTTCCATGATCTAGGATAGATATATTTCTATTTTGGGTAATCCCTTGGGACCAGACTTAGGGCATGAATGAATCCTATTGGACGAGATCATGTTGGCTGACTCATGAAAAACACTCATAATACCTTGTCCCAACAAAACTTGGGTAGCGCAGACTGATCCTAACTCAGCAGCTTCTCCTGGCTCACTCATCAAAGCCATTTCCTTAGTCAGAGTCAGCTTTAGCTTTCTCAGACGTGAATCATGCACTAGTCCTGGTCTTCTACCCACAGGGGAGGTATATACAAAGCTGTACGAGTGGTCCCCTTGAAGCTGGCACATATGCTTATGGTCAAGGACACTTGACAGCAAAAGAGGCAACATTAATAAATAATTCTGCCAGCAACTGTCCTGGGAAAATAAAATAGAATTATACCATAATACTGTTTTTTATTTTGCTTTCTTACGTTATTGCATATCATGAACACACTTCCAGGTCATCAAATACATTTCTACATAATTTTTAAAGGACTGTAAATTATCCAGTTTTATGGATGTGCCAAAGTCAATTCACATTTAGGTTACTTCGGGCTTATTCTTATCACAAATAGCACAACACGAAGAGTTAGCTGGCTGAACATGCAATAGAAATTTTAAAAAGAAAAAAAGTCCAAGTCAGAAAATACACTTACTCTGGTCAAGAATTAAATTATATGTGGAAAAAATGTGATTTAAAAGATTTATTTTAAACCAGTTTATCATTTCAACCGAATTATCAACTGGACCATTTTATTTTCAGATAAAATGCTTTTGTCTGCTCAGGGACTTTGGCTCTAAAACGGTTGGAATAATTGGCTGGAGCTCAGAACACTGTCTTTTCTATTCTCCTAGCATCAAAATCCACAGGCTGCTGACCTGACTCCTGGAACCACAGGTAAGTGTGGTGCTCTAGGCTCCTACAGCCTAGGAGTAGATTTCAGGGCATTCACTGCCTAAGGCCTATCTTCCAGAACTTTCATTTATCCCTGGAAACAGGGCACCCTGATCAACATACCAGAAGGAGTGATAGTGCATGAAATGTACAGGCACTGCTCCCCCATGGTAGACACCCTCAAGGCACATCAGATCTTCAACCAAAGGGTTGCCACCCAGCAAGATGCCAGGGGACAGGGTCTAGACTCCAGATGGAGACAATGATTATCTTGGGCTTTAAAGCAGTTTTGAAAAACAAACTCTAGTCTCTTTGCTCCAGCACCTCACCTAACCCAACAAGCCCCTATGTTAGTAGACATGACTGCAACTGCCCTTAAGAGGAGGGTGGGCACTGCTAAGGATGAACACCCTCATCAAGCATTATACAGGGGCTTCCCTGGTGGCGCAGTGGTTAAGAATCCGCCTGCCAATGCAGGGGACACAGGTTCGAGCCCTGGTCCGGGAAGATCCCACATGCCACGGAGCAACTAAACCCATGCACCACAACTACTGAAGCCTGTGCTCTAGAGCCTGCGAGCCACAACTACTGAGCCCGTGCACCTCAACTACTGAAGCCCACGTGCCTAGAGCCCGTGCTCCACAACAAGAGAAGCCACCGCAATGAGAAGCCCGCGCACTGCAATGAAGAGTAGCCCTTGCTCACTGCAACTAGAGAGAGCCCGTGCGCAGCAACGAAGATCCAATGAAGCCAAAAAAAAAGATGATAGCATGACATTCATAAACACAAATATAATCTAAAATCTGGGAAGAGAATGTGGGTGAAATACTGAGGCTAGAAATGTAGAAATGGGAAAATGAACATAGAAAGGCCACTTAAAAGCACGATACTACAGAGTGAACACCGAGTCCATAAGAATATATGCCTTTAGAAGAATAAGGAGGGAGAGAGGGTATTTAAAGGAGCAGGTAAAGAGACAAGGGAGAGGCCAGAAGAGGCAAGAATGGTGTGTATCACAAGCCAGAGTGTACTTTCAAGAAAGTCAAGTCAGCACAGTTAAATGCAACACAATCATAGGAGACAATAACTGGTTTTTTAGTCACTGATTTGACTGGAAGGAAGTCAGTGGTAATCTCCAAGAAAACAATTTTAGTAACACCGGTAGTACACCTTTGTCACATCACAAAGGTGAGCTAGAGAATTAAAACTGAGGCTATGGGTTTTAGACAAGTTTAACGTGTTTGATAATAAAAAGGAAAAAAGAAGAACGGAAAATGGGTAAAAATGGCAGAGGATTTTTGATATGGAGAAGAAAAAGATTTAAAGAATACTGAGAGGATGTATGAATAAAGAAGAGAAAGAAAATGCGTCATGGAGATTTGCAACATCTAGGTATTTATGGTCATTCAAACTAACACCTTCAAAATAAATTTGTGTTGTGTAAGTTTTTTAAATAATAAGTATATATTATCTGTTTAATCAGAGAAAAAGTAAGAGAGTCATTTCCACTTTGGAAAAATGTCAAATATGAACTGAATTTTTAAGAAGCATGCCTCTTTAAATCCCAGAGGCAGATGTTTGTAACACACTCAGTTAAGTATTTCAAAAGCAACTATTTTCCTTCACTGAGGTGCAAACACCCAAATGCTTGCTTCTCACCTGGATGAGTGTCTGGTGGGCTGTCTCTCTCCATCATCCACTGCTCCTCCTGTTCCAACTGAGTGATCACTTCTGGCTTATAAAGTTGATGCCCTATTCATGGGAAAAAATGCATATCTTAGAATTTTATACTGGGAACAAAAATCTCTCTCAGAACTCATTTCCAACCTGTTTAATCTTTAGGGCCTCCAGATTTGGAAAGGAGAGGCTTCAGAGGCAGCAAACTAAAGCTACCCATCTCAAAATCAGGAACTTTTACCTGAGAAGAAAGCAAAAAACAGAGATCTCTGTCTCCAAAACTGATTAGCATTCTTCCATCCTGGCCTGAACTATATACACAAAAGCTTCGAAGGTTTTCACTACTAAAGGAAAGAAACCCATGTAGAATGAGTTCCAGTCTTACAGGGATGCCATCCTTACCCAGTGCAACCAGGTTCCTATAGTTCTCCAGCATCACGTCTCGGTAGAGGTTCTTCTGAGCAGGGTATAGCTGGACCCACTCCTCTCTGGTGAATTCCACAGCCACGTCCTGGAATGTCAGTGATTCCTGAAACACCAAGTACATCCTTGCTCAGCCAGAAAACTTTTTTTTACAGGGGCCCTTAGGGGAAGAGGCAAAGGTGCTGCAGTAGACAAAGGTTAGGATGTCTAAAGAGTTGTATTGAAAGTCTTCAGGGCTCTGAGTAATCCAGGTCAAAATTTTGGAAGCAACAATTCTATCTTCCATCATCTTTCAAGACAGGTATAAAAACATGCATGAAATAATGCTTGTTTTTAGGCTTTTTACAACCTGCTGCAGAGGAAACTCTCTCATATCATCTAAACAATTAAAAAGCTACATGGAAAATTCATGCTATTAAGATTTCAGAATTGAAAGAATTCAGGATATGTTGAAATAGTGAAAGTAGGTATCAAGTTGGTGGATCATGTGTACAACCTTAACAGATTTTTAAGCTTTAGACAGAAGAGGAGAGAGAATATTCCAGTGTGTTTAAAAAGAAAGAAAAAAAAAAAGGCAACAAGGGCAAATAGGTTGAGAGTAGAAGGCATGTTATGCACGTTGGGATCAGTAAAAGAAAAAGCCCATCCTCTCCCTTTTTCTTTCTATAATTTTCCTGGACTGTTTAAGAGTAAGTTGCAGAGGGACTTCCCTCGTGGCGCAGTGGTTAAGAATCCACCTGCCAATGCAGGGGACACGGGTTTGAGCCCTGGTCTGGGAAGATCCCACATGCTGCGGAGCAACTAAGCCCGTGCGCCACAACTAACTGAGCCTGCACTCTAGAGCCCGTGAGCCACAACTACTGAGCCTGCGTGCCACAACTACTAAAGCCCGTGCTCCACAACAAGAGAAGCCACCCAATGAGAAGCCGGCACATGGCAACGAAGAGTAGCCCCCGCTCGCGGCAACTAGAGAATGCCTGCGAGCAGAAACGAAGACCCAACGCAGTCAAAAATAAATAAATAAAAATAAATAAATCTATTTAAAAAAAAAAAAGAGTAAGTTGTAGAGGTGATGCCCCTTTACCCCTAAAAAATTTGTTTATTTCCTAAATACAAGGAATTCTCTTACGTAACAACAGGATGATCAAAATCAGTAAATTAACATCGATACAGTGCTGTTGTCTAAGCTATATACTTATTCAGATTTCACTAAATGTCCTAATAATGTCCTTTATAACAAAAATCAAGATTTTTGATTGTCTTGTATCTTTTGTCTCCTTGAATCTGCAACAGTTCCCCAGCCCTTCTTTGTATTTCCTAACACTGACATTTGGAAAACACAGGCTAGTTATTTTGTAGAATAAACCTCAATTTGGGCTTGTCCAGTGTCTCATCATGAGTAGATTCACACTATGCATTTATGGCAGGAATAGTTCAGGAGCGATGCTGGGTTCTTCTCAGTGAATTGTACGCATTGTTGACTAGTTCCATTACTGGCAATGTTAACTTTGATAATTTGGTTAAGGTGGTTACCTACCAGTAATTTCCCCTGGAAGATTATTATTGAATCCTGTAATTACTAAGTTTCTTGTGGGGGAGATACTTTGTTCCTCCTCAAACTTTCACCCACTCATTTTGGCTTTCACTGGTAATTCTTTCCTGAACCAACTGTAATTTTCATGGTGCTTTTCTAATGCCAACACTCTTTGTACATTATTAGTTGGCTTTCTACTGTGCTGAAGAAGTTTCCCTTCCTATTTATTCATTAATTTATATGAGGTGGATTTACTTACTTATTTTATTCTATAAGTTATAATCATTTACTATCACTATTTTAAAAATGCTCAGATGGTCCTAGATTTAGCCAGAAGCAGCCCCTTCAAACTGGCTTCTTTGTTCTTTTGAAATGTACCTATCATTCTTTGAGTACTTTACTTTTTGGGATAGAAAGATGTTCTTTCAAGGCTCATGCTGTGCTTTTCCTGCTCCAAACCTGGAATCAGCCATTTCTCAAAGGATCCCTGATTCCTTCTAATGGTCAAATACTGAGCAGCTCTGCTTCCCATTAGAAGATCTACAGGGTCACAGTCTGTCATGTTCTGCTCTGTTGGTCAAATACTGAGTGGCTATGTCTGGTTCCTTTTAATGGAGAATGGCACTTGGACACCAATATCTGGGCACTAGATGTGTCCAATGCTACTGGAGTATTACTGCTTCTAGGCCCTCTCAGGGGTCGCACCTGGGAAAGAGAGGAATATACATAATGATGTATGTATACACACACAACTCCATACTCAATTCTGTATTTAGTTATATGTATTAAAACCCATGAGTCCACACTGACACCTCTAATTCTAATCCAACATGGCAAGGTTCATTCCATCCTCCTCTCTTTTCATATCTGTAATTCCCTTCTCTGACCATGAGAAACCTGGCTCCTATTATGCACAATGAATTTACTTATTTGCTCAATCCTAGAATGTAAAGAAAGTGGTTTCAGTATTGCTAACACATGCCTCAGTGCAAAACAAGCCTACAAATGAGAGTTCACTGTTTAGAACTGTTTTGCTTTTAGCCTGAGGACATAGAGTATAAATAACTATTTAGGTTCAACAGTTAACTCCTTTACAGTGTGGATATATCAGTAATTTGAAGTACAGTTTGGTTCACTTGTTTCTGTTTGTATTCAATTTTAAGCCCTCCTCCCATACCACCCCACCTCATTCCCTCTTTTTCACCCCAGTCCCATATAAGCCCTACAAGTAACCAAACTCATTAGACTCAAGTTTACCCTTCCAATGTCTCTTTTTGCTCAAACAAGCAAATAGATCTATATGCATATTTTAAAAATATTTATTTGTTTTCGCCGGGTCTTAGTTGCAGCAGGTGGGCTCCTTAGTTGTGGCACGCGAACTCTTAGTTGCAGCATACATGTGGGATCGAGTTGCCTGACGAGGAATCAAACCTGGGCCCCCTGCATTGAGAGTGTGGAGTTTATCCACTGCACAACCAGGGAAGTCCCTATATGCATTTTTTTTTTTTTGCAGTATGCGGGCCTCTCACTGTTGTGGCCTCTCCCATTGCGGAGCACAGGCTCCGGACGCGCAGGCTCAGTGGCCAAGGCTCACGGGCCCAGCCGCTCCGCGGCATGTGGGATCTTCCCGGACCGGGGCACGAACCCGTGTCCCCTGCATTGGCAGGCAGACTCTCAACCACTGCGCCACCAGGGAAGCCCTATATGCATATTTTTATTTCCTCTTCTTTCTTACACAAAAGTAGTATTTTACAAATACTCTTTTGCACTTTGATATTTTTTCACTGAACAGCTTATCCTGGAAATTCCTCCACATCAATTCATAGATATCTTCCTCATTCATTTTTATAGCTGGATGGGACAGTGTGAATGTTCCACAATTTATTTAACTAGTCTATTAACAGACATTTTAGCTGCTTTCTACTCTCTTGCTACTACAAATCATGCTGTAATGAATTATCTTTTATGTATATTATTCTGCAATTGCATGTAAGTCTACCTCTAGAATCCAAAAGAGCATATGAATCTGCAATTTTGATATATATTGTCAAACTGACCTCCAAAGGGGTTGTATCAGTTCTGTAATTATCTATTGCTGTATAACAATCCACCCCCAAATTTAGTGGCTCAAAACAACAACAATCATTTATTTTGCTCACAGAATCTGTAACATGCGCAGGACTCAGTGAGACTAGCTCATCTTTGTTCCATTTTGTTTCAGCTGGGGCGGCTCAACTTTGGGCTGTAGGATTCACTTTTAAGAGGCTCATTCATGTGGCTGGCAAGTTGGTGCTGGCTGTCAGCTGTGAGCTCAACCAGGGGCCTCAGGTTCTCTCCATACGGGCCTCTCCACAGGCTGCTTGGGCTTCCTCACGGCATGGTAGCTGGACCCCAAATGCAAAACTCCCAAGAGAACCAGCTTTCATCATCCAGCCTCAAGAGTCACATAGCTTCACTAAAAAAAGAGGTGATATATGTATATGTATAACTGATTCACTTTGCTGTATAGCAGAAACTAACACAACACTGTAAATCAACTAGACTCCAATAAAAATTAAAAAAAAAAAAGAGAGTCACATAGCTTCAGTTCCACCACAGTCACAGGCCTGCCCAGATCCAAGGGGAAGTAACACACTCCCACATCTCTTGATAGAAAGAGTATTTAAATCATAGTATATGAGGAGCCTATGGAATGGGAGAAATTGTGCCATTTTCAGAAAATACAATCTGCTACTGTCTATCCTCTGAATGTAAACATTCACATCCCTCCCACATGCAAAATACACTCATCTTCCTCAAGACTCCCATGTTTCATCCCGTTAGAGCGTCAGTGTGAAGTCCAGGATCTTGTCACCTATATCAGGTCCACATGCAGATGAGGATCTTTGAGCACAGTTCCTCAGGTACAGTTCCTTGAAAGCTTTCTCCCTATTTTTCCTTCTGTGAGCTGAAGAAATAGTTATCTGGCCCCACCCTCTACCCTTCACAAACTCGAAGTGGTGGGAAAGGCATAGAAATAACCACTAGAGACACTCCCATTCAAGTACACAGCAATTCATAGCAATTCTAAAATGTAGCTGAGCTGGGCACGTGTTGAGAGATGTGAATGACAAATAGTTTTCTTTTCAAGCTCAGTAATTCCTGGCTCCTTTATATTTCTTTTTAAAAAATTGAAATATTGTTTATGTACAATATTATATGTTACAGGTATAGAGTATAGTGATTCACAAATTTAAAGGTTATACTCCATTTATAGTTATTATAAAATACTGGCTATATTCCCTGTGTTGTATATCCTTGTAGCTTATTTTATACATAATAGCTTGTACCTCTTAATCCCCTACCAATTGTATTGCCCCTCTCCGCTTCCCTCTCCCCACTAGTTTGTTCTCTATATCTGCAAGTCAGCTTTTTTTGTTTTATTCACTAGTTTGTTGTGTTTTTTAGATTTCACGTGTAAGTGATATCATACAGTATTTGTCTTTCTCTGAGTTATGTCATTTAGCATAATGCCCTCCAAGTTCATCCATGTTGCTGCAAATGGCAAAATTTCATTCCTTTTCATGACTGAG